AATTTTGATCTGCTAGAACAGGGGCAGCAGAGACCATGAAAGTGCCTGTGAAGGATGCTGCAGGTTCTCAGAGGAGGTGTTGCGTGGTGGTGGTAGGTGGGTGACTCCCTCTCTCTTGACGATAGAACAGATATTTGTAGACCTGACAAGATGTCTCTGGAGGTGTGCAATGTCCCTGGTGTGAAGATCCAGAATGTGACAGAGAGTTTACTTATCAAGCCCACTGACTATCACCTATTCCTTCTAATCCACATGGGAACAAATGATGCTGCCAGATACTTTAATGACGGCTAGTGTTTTCATCACTCTTTCCTATTGAATGTAACAGTCCAGGAAGAGAGGCATGAATGCTTGAAGTGAACAGCTGATTGTGTGGGGAATAATGTCATTGGGAACGATGTGGCTTCTTGTACCATGGTTTGAACTTCCTTGAGAAAGGACTCCTGGTAGAGACAGGTTGTACTTTACAAGGATTAAGATGAATGTCTTGGCTAGGAGTCTTGCAAATCAGGTCACAAGGGAATCCTACTGATTGCAAATCTGGTCAGAAGAGAATCCTACAGGCAGCATGAGGGTACTCTAAAGGAGACATCAAGAATTGGGAACAGGAGTGTGAGTGATGTATCAGAAACTGGGATGGTGGAACAGAAACCCACCAAATAGATGTAAAAAGACAATAAGGAAGATGTTGGAGGAAAAGACTTCTAGCTTCAAATGTGTCTGCACCAAAACATAGAGCATGGAATGTTGACTAAATGAGCTTGAACTCTGGACACAGGTTAAGGCAAATGTGATACCATAACCATTATGGAAACCTGTTGGCATGAGATTTGTGACTGGAATGCAGTGACTGAAGGGTATAATTTATTGAAAAGGAACAGACTAAACAGCAGGGGTACAGTAGCAGCACTGTATATAAAGGGTGTGTACGACTGTATGAAGAGTCCTAATGCTGGTGGAGACACTTGGTAAAAATCAGAGGAGAGAAAAACAACACTGATATCACTGTGGGGAGCTGCTATAGATCTCCCAACCAGACTAATGATTTGAATGATGCCTTCCTAGATTCTTGATATTTTACTTGACAATGTTTTCAAAGAGATATACCGTATTTGCCGGCGTACAAGATGACTGGGCGTATAAGACGACTCCCCCAACATTTCGACTCAAAATATAGAGTGGACGGCTCTGCTGCGGTGCCGGCGGTGGCTGCCTGGGGCTCTGCCTGGGCCCGCCCTAGAAGTTCATGGACGGCGACGAGGTGGGCGAGGAGGAGGGGAAGCGGCTGAGCAGGCAGCGGCAGCGGAGGAGGGGAAGCGGCTATCTGGCGACGGGCGGGCAAGTGGGCAGCTGGCTCAGGCCACTCAGGCATGGCTGGCTCTGCTTCCCTCCCTCCGTCCGGACCGACTGCCTGCCTGCCTTCCTCCCCGGCCAGTGCGGCCCTGCGTCACCCACTCGGCGGCAGCTCCTTCCTGGCCCAACATGCCAACACTTGGAGGCATGTTTTTTGGGCCAAAATGTCATCTTATACGCCAGCAAATATGGTACTGTAGTAATGAGAGACTTCATCTATCTCTGTATTTATTGGAAGTCTGTCCTGGTAAAAAAATGTAAGATCCAACAAGAGGGTCAGTAAATTTGGATCTGGTCTTTACCAGTTTCTTAAAGACAAAACACTAAAGGCACACTCATAAACAATTCCTTTGAGAAAAATTAAAAGGGTGCCTGCATCAGGAATTTTCAGATGACTTAAGATTTAAAAGAAGCACGCATATGAAATGGAAGGAGAAGGAAATCACCAAGGTACAAATAGCCAATATTTGTAGAGAGAAAGTCAGGAGAGCTAAAGATGAGAATGAATTCAGCCATAGCTTTAATAAACGGATTTTTAAAGCTATGCTTGGAGCAAGAGAAAAAAAACAATGAAGTAGCATTTACTGATGGTAATAAAAGGCAGAACTGTTGAATATCTTCCCAAAACGAAAACAGTGCTTAACCTAATGCAAGTCGAATAAATAGTACAGTGAGGGAGGTGCTGCCCAAGATAAGTAAAGACTTGGTATGGGAACATCTAGCTAGTCTAAATGAATTTATTTCTGTAGTGCCAAGTGAGCTGCATCCAAGGTACTAAAAGAACTTGCATATGTAATCTCAGAACCTGTTTGAAAATTCCTGGAGAACAGGTGAGGTCCTTGAAGACTAGTGGTGGGCAAATGTCATCTTTATCTTCCCAGAGAGACTGAGAGTGAAATACTATTTGAGCAACTACTGATCAGTCATCTGACATGAATAATAGAAAAGATCTAGAGCAGATCATTAAATAGTCTGTGACCATTTAGAAAAGAACATGGTGATCATCACAATGAGTTTCTCAAAAACAAGTCATGACACACTAATCTTATCTCCCTCTCTCCCCAAGTCACAAGCTTGATAAATGAGAATAGTGCTGTGGATATTATATATCTTGGCTTTTGCAAGGATTTTGACAAGGTCACTCACAATATTCTTAAGAGCCCACCTGTTAAAATGTGGGCTAGATGATGCTATTTTTATATAGATTTGTACCAGGCTGGTGGATTGTACTCAATGATTCCTTATCATCCTGCAGAGAAATCACACATGAAGTGCCACAGGATTCTGTCCTGGACCCAATGTTGTTCAAAAACTTTATACATGATTTAGATGAGGGTGTGGAAGGAATAGTTATCAAATTTGCAGATGAAACTACACTGGGAGGAGGTAGTAATAACTTCAAGATTAGGACTAAATATGACTTTAACAGATCAGAGAACTGAGTGAGGACCAACAAAATGAGTTCTGACAGGGAAAAAGGTAAAATTCTACATTTAAGGAGGGAAATTTACAAATATGAGATGGGTGACAGCTGCCTTGATTATAGTATACTGTAGGTAAAGGTTCCCCTTAACATTTAGTCCAGTCATGTCCAACTCTAGAGCCCGATGCTCATCTCCATCCCCAAGCCATAGAGCCAGCGTTTGTTCGTAGACAGTTTTCGTGGTCACGTGGCCAGCACGACTAGACACGGAATGCCGTTACCTTCCCACTGTGGTGGTACCTATTTATCTACTTGTCTTTTTATACATGCTTTTGAACTGCTAGGTTGGCAAGAGCTGGGACAAGCAACGGGAGCTCACTCTGTTGAGTGGATTTGATCTTACGAGTGCAGGTCCTCTGGCCCTGCAGCATGGAGGCTTCTGCGGTTTAACCCGCAGCGTGACCATGTCCCTTGATTATAGTATACAGCAGGGGTGTCCAACCTTTCACCTTCCCTGGGCCACATTATAAGATGTAAATTTGGTTTGGGCCGCATGGGGGGCAGCCCTAGCCGTCCTCCGCAGCCCCGCTCCAAGTGCGCTTACCGGCAGCTGCGATCTCAGACAGCAGAGGCTGCCAGCTTCAGCTTCGGCGGCTTTATGGGGCCGGGAGTGGGTCCACCTATGGACGGGGACGGTGCAATGCAGTCACGCAGCCCCCCTGTCCTCTCCCACTCCTTCCTTCCCTCTCTCCCGCTCTACTGTTGTGACATGCCCCGGCCACATGCGCCAGCAGTATATCTTGAAACTTTGGAATTTCTTTAAAAATAAAAAAATTGCACTGAGCCGCATTACGAGCTGACCTGGGCCGCATGCAGCCCTCGGGCTGCAGGTTGGACAAGCCTGGTATACAGGTACATAAAAATGATCTTGGGTAAACATGAGTCAACTGTGAGATGCAGGAACAAATAATATTAATGTAATACTATGCAGCTTCAAAAGAAGCATAGTGTCCAGATTAAAGGAAGCAATGGACCACTCTACTTCCCACTGGGTTCTACAGGTTAAGGATATTGATAAGCTAGAATGCATGGTGAACCATCTAGACTGGACTAAGCCCTGTGAAGAACGGCTAAGGGTGTTGGGCATGTTCAGCCTGGAAGAACGAAGCTGTGTGTGGTGATATAATGGCTATCTTTAAATATTTGAGGGGCTGGCATGTGAAAAATGAAGCAAATTTCTTTTATGTCGTTCCAGAGGGTATGATCCAAACCAATGTGTTCCTGCCAGGTGACCATCCAACCTCCATTTAAAACTCTCCGATGAATGAGTCATTGTTCTTAGATATTTTTCTCCATGCCTACAACTGTACCTTTTGGGTGGGGCTTGGCACAGAACCCAGGGTGGTAGCCAGGGTGGGGTATAAACAATAGATTCTTGTCTATATGCCAGAGACTGGTCCTCGTATATTCCTGGATGTTATTCACTCATATAGCAGCAGCATTCGAAATGGGCGAAGGAAAAAATGGTATGAGAACTGGCCTGTTTAATTTTTGTTTATTCTGAGAAAAGGGAAATATAAGTTTGTATTTTTAAACCTAATGCAGTCACTTTATATGGGAATGTGAACAAACCCTTACCTTCTTTCTCCGCAACACCAGAAGTCTGAAATCCTGCTTCTAAGCTAACAGATGGAAGCAGGAACCCTGTTGGAAATTGTGGCAGAGGCAGCTTTCAACCCTGTAAAGAACAATTTTGCAAATGGCCAATCGTGGGCTTTGCATTTATATTTCACACCTGTCTGGGGCGGTATATATAATATGAAGTAATTTGAGCCAGAAGAGGCATTGAAAACTGGTTTCGCCTTGGCTACCGTCCCAGGCACGCCTGTTATGGGAGGAAGGGTTCAGTTGTTCATTCCCCTCTTGCAAGAAAACCACCAGTACTCTGAAAGTAACGGCACTGGGCTGTTCCCTTTCCCCTCCTTTCCCCCTTTTTCGTTCTCTGTCTCTAAACCTGAACCGTCGGCCTTTATCTTCGCCCTCCTCCACAGAAGGTGTTTTCTGAGGGAACCCAGCAGGGCCCTAAGAAGGCACCTTTTCCTTCCCAGGGAGAAAGGGGCGGGTTTAGCTCTCTCTCTCTCTCTCCTTTCCACCAGGAGGCAAGAAGGAACCAGCCGGGGGCGCTGCAGCTGCGGAAGAGGGCGGCCCACCTCTTCTCGTCAGGAGGGCCCCGAAGGCTGGGAACGGAGCGGAACACAAGACATGTCGGAGCGGGGCTGAGGTTTCTTCACAGCCTCGGGAGTGAGGTGGGCGGTGGCGGCAGCGGCAGCAGCAACCGTGGCGCTGCCCTTAGGCCCCGCCAACCGGGAAGCGGAACGGCCGCCGAAGTGGGCGGCGGCGGCGGCGGAAGAAGCGGCGACTGTGGCGGCGGAGGCGGCAAGAGGAGCGGGGGGCAGGCTGGGTCCCTCCCCGGGAAGATGAGGCGGAGGCCCGGGGAGCTGAACGGGCTGAGCTGGGGCGCTTTCCCCTCAGCCGCCAGGACAAGATGGCAGCGGCTGAAGAGGCGGCAGCAGCAGCAACAACAGAAGAAGAAGCCACAACAGCAGCAGCAGCCGCCGGCAGAGGCTGAGCCCGGCCTGGAAGGCGCCTCCCTGGAGTAGCTCTCGGGACATGCCGAGGGCTGCGGCGAAGGCAGCGGGAACTGTAGAGCTGCCCGCTCTGTGAAGGTGAGAAAGAGAAACGGAGGAGAGGCCAGGCTAAGCGGCGGCAGCAGCAGCAGCAGGAGGGTCCTTGCTCTGCCTCCCCCCCTCCTCCCCGCTGCCGCCGCCGCCGTGTGTTTTGGGAGTTGCCGGGACCAAAACGGAGGGGCTGGACCTGCCCAAAGAGGCTTGGTGGAAAAACCCTTGGCGCTTCAAACTCCCTGTGTTTGTGTTTGTGCGTGTCCTGCGGGGCCGTTTCTCCCTCTCCGGCTTCCCTCTGGTAACTCGTCTCTTCTTGGAAATAAGGAAGCCGTGAAGCGGAGCCAGCCCGGAGGGGGCAGGGTTAGGAAGTGCGATAGACCTGCACTTCTCTTGCCTAACCCCCCCTCCTCCCCTCCCCCCGATTTGTCAGCTGGTCCCTTTCTGGGAAGAAGGCTTGGTCTTGTTTGTCCAGAAAGGAGGAGAACCGGGACCCTGGGCATGTTTTCTTGGAAGGCAATTCCTTTCGGGATTTGCTTCCCAAGAAGTGTTCGCGGAATTATTGCAGCCTTTTGGCTGGACGGGCTGTACTTTCCGTGTCTTAAAACCGCCGCTCGTGTTTAGGCTGAGAGCCGCTCCTCGATCACACACACGACTGAGCAGAGATTCCCTGGAACGGGGAGATCTAGGAGTGGAGTTAGGCGCGAGCATATATATATATATATGCAGAGTGTTGTTAAAATCTCACAGCGAACAACCTCAGTCGATCGGGGAGTAGGAGGGCCGTCAGGGAAGAGGGCCTGGCTCCCGAGGCAGGCTTGAGCCTTCACACGTTCCTTTCTAGAAAGACCCGCGGTCTGCTCAGAGGCTTAACCCTACGCGTGTTTTCACCCTTTCATGTGATGAAAGCTGAGGGATACCTCCAGGGAAAAAGCTTTACCTTTCTTGATGATCAGTTGCGTATTGTTACGGATGGACAAGAAGCGGGAATATTCTGAAAGGTCTCCCTCTGCCTTCCCGCTGCAGAGATGTGTAAAGTTAACATGAGAAAGAGAGCGAGGGCTTCCTGCCACCGACAAATCGGAGAGCAAAGAGATTAGTACATATAAATAGTTCAGCCCCATTTCGCGTGTCGCTCCTATTCTCGGTTTCTGCGGCCTTCTTTTTCCTTTGGCTACCAGAAATTTCCCTG